TTCCTTCCTTCCTTCCTTCCTTCCTTCCTTCCTTCCTTCCTTCCTTCCTTCTTTCCTTCTTTCCTTCTTTCCTTCTCATTATTTTAAGTTCCTTATTTGGGGTCTTTTGTTCATTTCATTCAAAAAATATATAGATGTAATGGTATGTGAGAATGGCCTTGGGAGACAGGAGGGAATACTGCAGCCTACAGAACCGTCATGCAAAAGGTGTCTCAGCCTACAGAAGGAAAAGGGGCATGGGAAATGTTCCAGAAGGGATCCTCCCTAGTTTTCTGGAAAGTATAAGTAAAGGAGAGGAGAAATGCTCTCAGACTTGCAAGATTCTGTTGCAGTAACCTTACAATAATGGTAGTGTTAGTAGTGAAGGTTTGTACTTCTGGTCTGTAACCCCTCAAAGGGCTTACAATAGCAAACTATTAATTTACTAAACCCATACAGCTCTTTCCAAAATGGTCGAAACACAAAATTGTTGCCTCCAAACCATGTCATGATTCACACTGCTTTGATACGTTTTGAGTCTCTGGAGGAATAAAAACCATATGAACCGCATTATTAGGTGGTGATCCCTGAAACATTCTCTTGTCAGTTGGTCAATTATTTAGATTTGTTTGTTTGTATCCTGTTTTCCCTTTTGGGGTTTTTCACAGACAAGGGATGAATTGATTTAGCTATTATTACAGACATATTATCTGCTTATTTTCAGCATTCAATAGCACAATCTCTTCTGATTATCCCTGGTCAGTCTGTTTTGGACGCTTGGTAGAAAACACATTTTGCATCACGAAAACTATGAACATGTCCTCAAGAGAGCCCCTAAATTCCAGATAGGCAATTTATCCATATTTGATGGACATTCCTAGAAGTTAGTTCCCTACCCCATCCCAAATCAGCCAGACTTACAATGGATATAAAGTGTCCTTTCCATAGTTGTTCAGAATGAAACAAATGTCCTCCTGCTCATGAATTTTTTCCTTAAATTTCCTTGTGACTTCTGTTGCCTGTTACAAATGTGTCCTTTCCACAGTTGTTCAGAATGAAACAAGTATCCTCCTGCTCCTCAATTTTTTGCGTAAATTTGTTTCTGCCTTCTCTTGCCTGTTACAAAACCAAAAGAGAAAAGTAGAAAAAAAAAAAAGCATTGTCCAGTACAATAAATAGATTGGGAAAGAGAGAGAGAGAAAGAGAACCAGAGAGAAAGAGAAAAGAGAAATTCTTAGGCCAGATGCTCCAAAAGGGAAAGTGCTGTCAGCAGGAATCATGGGGGCAGTTATAGGAAATCAGCACGATTCAAACCACCACCACCACCACCACAACAATAATAATAACAAATACCTGCAAAAA